ATAAACTCAATAAACATAATATTTATTAGTTATAAATTATAATTATTATGATTTTTCTAAGTATTAGGAATATTCCATTTGTTACTATTCGTATTAATATAAATCATATTTGTGAACATATTTATTTTTATATGAACATTAAAAAAAAAAAATTATGTTCACAAAAATCATTAAATTTTTTTGAATTTCCAACACTGATGAGGATGCATTCAGAAAACATTCATCCTCCTTTAGACAAGAATGAGAGCATACATTTATATTCACTTTTAAATAAAAACATTTACACTATATTTTTGCGTCTGTCAGAGATCTTGGCATTATACTATGGATTGAGCACATATATACTGTACGTACATTACGTCTCATAAAAATGATCAGCAAAATAATTCTCTAGATTTTCAACCATTTTATTGATTTCAGATTCTTTTTTTGAAATAAGATTCTTTTCATAAACATTGGTGCTTTTTAAAAAGTCTAATAAAGCATTTTTAGCTTCCTCTACTGTGGTTTTTTGACCCAATTTTAAGGCTGTTTGGGCTTGGTTTAACAATTTAGGCAAACTTTTTTGAGCCACTACTAATGACTATAACAGTCAATTACAGAAGATAAGTAATATAGTGACAAATAATTAGACAAATACGGAAGAGAGAGACTCGGGACAAAATTATCTGTTACACCATAGTTGGTGAGGTCCAGTCTGATAACAATGACTATATATTATGACAATGTAAATTATGAAAAAGTTTAGTGCAATTGCTTCTCAATTTGATAATATTGCTGTTAAATATCGAAAAAATGTGTCAAAACAATACCAATGTGCTTGTTGCCCTTAAAAGATATACCTTGATCTCATTTCTTCTCTATAATTTGTTAAAAGGAAAACCGTACTAGATCTTGCACATGGAATGGTCTGTATAGTAGTATAGTCGATATCTCTTCTGATATGATCAATAGATTAATATCGAAAAAAAGATCAAATATAGTATTAAAATTTTAATAAAATTTTAATTCAAACTTCAATTATATTGTACTTTAATAATAAATATAATTATACACTTGACTTTCAAATTTTAAAGGTTAGAGTTCTATTCTTATTAAGACAAAATGTAACACCAAAAATTTTATAAAAAGAAATTGAAATTTTGTTACTTTAATAATATATAATTTTAATATAACTAAAATTTCTTTAATAACAATTTTAAAAAAAAATTTAAAATTTACATCAAGATTAAATATAAGTTATAGATTTTAAAAAATAGTGCATCCTAGCTATATCTCAAAATTTTACTAGGGTAATCCTGTTGTGCGACTAACAAAAAATAATTATTATACAATTTTACCTAACCCTAACCTAAACCCTAACCCTAACTTTAACTAATTATAACTTTATTTAAAATTTGCTATATCTCAAAATTTTACTAGAGTAACTCCTATTGTGTAACTAAGTAAAAATGCTCCTCTTGCAATTTTACCTAACTCTAATCTAAACTCTAACCCTAACTAATCTTAATTTAAAAATTTGCTATAGGCATGTATCACAGTGAATGGTGCACCAAATTATAATTTCTATAAGTTATTTATTCTAAATTTTTTTTGTATACCTAATTATCCAAATAAGCAGTTAAAATTAATATAAAAATAATATTAATATTACAATATTTTATTAAAAATAGTACAAATAAACCAAAAATCAAAAAATAATTTTTTACTATTTTTTTAACCAGAGTGATGTAACTACTCATATTAAAATTCAGGGTAAGAATGCAGTTTTTAGTAATTTTTTTTAATATAATATAAGGTTATATAAAGTTAATTTTCCAGTTCACTTAACATAAAACAAAAAAAACCCCCACTTACTCAGATTTTATTTAAAAATTTTAAAACTTTTTACAGCTATTTTTATAATTCTTGATAAAAATTATTTAAATAATTTTCATCTGATTCAATTAAGTTTGTAATTTTAGCATAATAGATTTTACTATTCTCATAAATTTTGAGACATTTAGTAAAAAATTGATCTAATGATTTTATACTGATTTGATAAGTTTATATGGCAATGTGTAATTACAATAATCTGCATATCTTTGATTTTGTAATTTTGATAATGATTTATATAAATAATAAAAGAAATTATATAATGTATATATTACTATTTTTATTCTTGCTAAATAACATTCTCAAAGCATATTCATTGGACAATTATTGAAAAATATTTAGAAGGCCTAACAGTTCAGGTAATTGCCAAATATCTAAGTGTTATCAGATCTTCTGTAAGTCAAATTTTCAAAAATTTTCAAAGATATGGATGTGTCAAAAAGCTTCTAGCAATTTTAGAAAGACCATGTTTATTAAATTTTGATGATGTAAAGTATTTTAAAGCTTTATTAAATAAAAATCAGATTGGTATTTTTATGAATTACAATCAGAGATAGAGCATTAGTTAGAACATAAAGTTAGTTTATTGACAATTCGGAGAGTTTTACATTGGCTAGAATATACAAATAAACAAATGTATATTTTATATTTATATGCTATAAATTATAAGTTATATTAAAATTCAATCACACATAAATTTCAAAACTTACAAAAGATAGAAATAAAGAATATTGAGATAATTTAATTTTGTGAATATCTTAATATACACCAAACCAGTTAGTTTTTTTAGATAAATTAGCTTATGATAGAAGAACATTGTCTTGCCAGTATGGGTGGAGTTTTCTGGGTTGCATGCTCAAAAGTATACAGTTTTTGTTTAGGGAAAATGATTTACTATCGAAGATGCATTGCATATTAATGGTTTTCTGGTATACAGTATCCAAGAAGGTTTAATGAATACTGATAATTATGAAAATTTTATTGAGTATATATTAGTAAGTAAATTTTAGAATCTTATTTAATATAGATGAAACTATATAAATATTATAAGATTATTTAATATAAAAAAACTCTAACTCTAACATAAAGCTATTTATAAACTATACTATAACTCTTATTCTAACTCTAACTATTCTCAAATCTGTTTAGATTAGTTCAAATAATTATTTTTATATTAAATAATCTTATAATATTT